AGTACCACCCTCTACCACCATCACAACCAGTACCACCCTCTACCACCATCACTACAACCCTCTACCACCATCACTCCCACCCTCTACTACCATCACAACCAGTACCACCCTCTACCACCATGAAAACCAGTACCACCCTCTACCACCATCACTACAACCCTCTACCACCATCACTACCCCCCTCTACCACCATCACAACCAGTACCACCCTCTACCACCATCACAACCAGTACCACCCTCTACCAGCATCACAACCAGTACCACCCTCTACCACCATCACAACCAGTACCATCCTCTACCACCATCCCTACCACCCTCTACCATCATTAGAACTAGTACCACCCTTTACCACCATCCCTACCACCCTCTACCACCATCACTATCACCCTCTGCCACCATTGCAACCAGTACCACCCTCTACCACCATCACTACCACCATCACAACCACTACCACCCTCTACCACCATTACTACCACCCTCTACCACCACCACTTTCGTATATTTCTACAAACTTTTTCTTGAATACTACCGTGTTTCTCAAATCCTTTACCAAAGGGCTGGCACTAGAAGCTTTCTTGGGACCCATGGTGGTTTATTTAGCAGTTACAAGCACTAGAAATAGTGGAATAATCCAAAATGTATGGGAGGTACACGTGGAAACCGACCGCAACAGCTTGTAAACAATGGCACACTGACTCTTGAAGTGGCTGGACGCACATCCACACGTTCCAGACGAACGTCGTTGGTTAAGTTTGTCGCCGTTGGTTAAGGCATTTTTTGTACGCCATAAAGCGCCGTTAGACGAAATTGCCGTTACTTAATGCCACTGTTAGTTGAGGGTCGACTGTATATATATATATATATATATATATATATATATATATATATATATATATATATATATATATATATATAATTGCTCTTGTTATAATAAGGTTAGGTAAGTTTTCTAAGATTCGTTTGGAGCAAAATTAAAATTTTTCATATATATATATATATATATATAATATATATATATATATATATATATATATATATATAATAATATATATATATATATATATGTCGTGCCGAATATGTAAAACTGGTCAATTAGCAAGAACTCATTTAAAATTAAGTCCTTTCTAAAATTTTCTTTTATACGTTTAAAAATATATTTTTTTTCAGTAATGTTAATGTAAAATTTTTTAAATTTGCTCCAAAAGAATCTTAGAAAACTTACCTAACCTTATTATTACAAGAACAATTTATTTTAGCCTAACCCAACTAAATATATTTTAGATTTGTTTACAATAATTTAATACTAAACAAACACAGTGAAATATATTTTTTTCGTTAGGTTCAGAATGATTTTGGCGAAATTATTGCATACACAAATTTTCACTTGTCCTATATGGCAAGATGAGCGTTGCTATTTAAGCCAAGATCGCAAGTTCTGCCTATTCGGCACGACATATATATATATATATATATATATATATATATATATATATATATATATATATATATATATATATTGGTACATACTATATTATTATAAATTAATACAACATTTTAGGAAAAAATGGCAACGAAGCCTAATATTGTGAGGGAGCCGCACAGAGTAGCTTCAGGAGCCGCAGTTTACCCATCGTTGGGACTCTGATTATTTACAGTAAATATTTACCTAGTAAAAAATACCACTCACCTAACGATACAGGATGAGAATGTGTTATGAACCTGGAACCTGGAACCTGGAGAGTGTTTCGGGGGTCAACGCCCCCGCGGCCCGGTCTGTGACCAGGCCTCCTGGTGGATCAGCGCCTGATCAACCAGGCTGTTGCTGCTGGCTGCACGCAAACCAACGTACGAGCCACAGCCCGGCTGATCAGGAACTGCCTTTAGGTGCTTGTCCAGTGCCAGCTTGAAGACTGCCAGGGGTCTGTTGGTAATCCCCCTTATGTGTGCTGGGAGGCAGTTGAACAGTCTCGGTCCCCTGACACTTATTGTATGGTCTCTTAACGTGCTAGTGACACCCCTGCTTTTCATTGGGGGGATGGTGCATCGTCTGCTAAGTCTTTTGCTTTCGTAGTGAGTGATTTTCGTGTGCAAGTTCGGTACTAGTCCCTCTAGGATTTTCCAGGTGTATATAATCATGTATCTCTCCCTCCTGCGTTCCAGGGAATACAGGTTTAGAAACCTCAAGCGCTCCCAGTAATTGAGGTGTTTTATCTCCGTTATGCGCGCCGTGAAAGTTCTCTGTACATTTTCTAGGTCGGCAATTTCACCTGCCTTGAAAGGTGCTGTTAGAGTGCAGCAATATTCCAGCCTAGATAGAACAAGTGACCTGAAGAGTGTCATCATGGGCTTGGCCTCCCTAGTTTTGAAGGTTCTCATTATCCATCCTGTCATTTTTCTAGCAGATGCGATTGATACAATGTTATGGTCCTTGAAGGTGAGATCCTCCGACATAATCACTCCCAGGTCTTTGACGTTGGTGTTTCGCTCTATTTGTGGCCAGAATTTGTTTTGTACTCTGATGAAGATTTAATTTCCTCATGTTTACCATATCTGAGTAATTGAAATTTCTCATCGTTGAACTTCATATTGTTTTCTGCAGCCCACTGAAAGATTTGGTTGATGTCCGCCTGGAGCCTTGCAGTGTCTGCAATGGAAGACACTGTCATGCAGATTCGGGTGTCATCTGCAAAGGAAGACACGGTGCTGTGGCTGACATCCTTGTCTATGTCGGATATGAGGATGAGGAACAAGATGGGAGCTAGTACTGTGCCTTGTGGAACAGAGCTTTTCACCGTAGCTGCCTCGGACTTTACTCTGTTGACGACTACTCTCTGTGTTCTGTTAGTGAGGAAATTATAGATCCATCGACCAACTTTTCCTGTTATTCCTTTAGCACGCATTTTGTGCGCTATTACGCCATGGTCACACTTGTCGAAGGCTTTTGCAAAGTCTGTATATATTACATCTGCGTTCTTTTTGTCTTCTAGTGCATTTAGGACCTTGTCGTAGTGATCCAGTAGTTGAGACAGACAGGAGCGACCTGTTCTAAACCCATGTTGCCCTGGGTTGTGTAACTGATGGGTTTCTAGATGGGTGGTGATCTTGCTTCTTAGGACCCTTTCAAAGATTTTTATGATATGGGATGTTAGTGCTATTGGTCTGTAGTTCTTTGCTGTTGCTTTACTGCCCCCTTTGTGGAGTGGGGCTATGTCTGTTGTTTTTAGTAACTGAGGGACGACCCCCGTGTCCATGCTCCCTCTCCATAGGATGGAAAAGGCTCGTGATAGGGGCTTCTTGCAGTTCTTGATGAACACGGAGTTCCACGAGTCTGGCCCTGGGGCAGAGTGCATGGGCATGTCATTTATCGCCTGTTCGAAGTCATTTGGCGTCAGGATAACATCGGATAGGCTTGTGTTAATCAAATTTTGTGGCTCTCTCATAAAAAATTCATTTTGATCTTCGACTCTCAGTCTGGTTAGCGGCTTGCTAAGAACTGAGTCATATTGGGACTTGAGTAGCTCACTCATTTCCTTGCTGTCATCTGTGTAGGACCCATCTTGTTTAAGTAGGGGCCCAATACTGGACGTTGTTCTCGATTTTGATTTGGCATAGGAGAAGAAATACTTTGGGTTTCTTTCGATTTCATTTATGGCTTTTAGTTCTTCCCGCGATTCCTGACTCCTAAAGGATTCTTTTAGCTTAAGTTCGATGCTTGCTATTTCTCTGACCAGTGTCTCCCTGCGCATTTCTGATATATTGACCTCTTTTAGCCGCTCTGTTATTCTTTTCCGTCGCCTGTAAAGGGAGCGCCTGTCTCTTTCTATTTTACATCTACTCCTCCTTTTTCTTAGAGGAATAAGCCTTGTGCATACATCGAGTGCCACCGAGTTAATCTGTTCTAGGCATAAGTTTGGGTCTGTGTTGCTTAGTATATCTTCCCAGCTTATATCGGTTAGGACTTGGTTTACTTGGTCCCACTTTATGTTTTTGTTATTGAAGTTGAATTTGGTGAATGCTCCCTCGTGACTAGTCTCATTTTGTCGGTCTGAGGCTCCACGCATACATGTCTGAACCTCAATTATGTTGTGATCTGAGTATATTGTTTTTGATATGGTGACATTTCTTATCAGATCATCATTGTTAGTGAAGATGAGGTCTAGTGTATTCTCCAGTCTAGTAGGCTCTATTATTTGCTGGTTTAAATTGAATTTTGTGCAGAGATTTAAAAGCTCGTGTGAGTGTGAGTTTTCATCAGAGCTGCCTCCTGGTGTTATTACTGCAACAATATTATTTGCTATATTCCTCCATTTTAGGTGCCTTAAGTTGAAATCCCCAGGAGCAAGATGTTGGGTGCAGGAGCTGGAAGATTTTCCAGACAGTGGTCAATTTTTAACAGCTGTTCCTGGAATTGCTGGGATGTTGCATCCGGAGGCTTGTAGACTACCACAATGACTAGGTTTTGGTTCTCGACCTTTACTGCTAAAACTTCCACTACGTCATTTGAGGCATTAAGCAGTTCTGTGCAAACAAGTGACTCTGCAATGTACAGGCCAACCCCCCCTTTTGCCTGTTCACTCTGTCACATCTGTATAGGTTGTAACCTGGGATCCATATTTCGTTGTCCAAGTGATCCTTTATGTGGGTCTCAGTGAAAGCCGCGAACATTGCCTTTGCCTCTGCAAGCAGTCCACGGATGAAAGGTATTTTGTTGTTTATTGCTGGCTTTAGACCCTGTATATTTGCAAAGAAGAATGTTATCGGACTGGTGGTATTGTTGGTACTGGGGGGGGATTTTTTTTCCGGCATTAGTATCTGTATCTGTTGGTTTGGAGTGGAGGCCATCGACTGTGGTTCCACTCCAGGAATGACTGGATTTGGTGTACGTTTGGTATACGTTTAGCTATAAAATTCATCATTAAAGTGAATTTAGCGTCTTTAGCAAAAAGCTTAACAATATATAAATGACTGCAAATAAGGTTAAATCAAATTTGTGTAACACGTTTACTTTGCTAACTTTATTGTGTATCTTATTCCAGACTGGTAGATGCTGTCAAGATATTACAGAGGAAGATACAGTAATTGCTTCAGCGACTGGTCCCTAAATTGTGAATGAAGTTCACTTACAAAAAAATGAAAACACAATTTAACATAATGGCTCAGGGCTCTCAAGGTAATTGGATTAAAACAACATTTTATAGTGATGTAAAAGATAATTGTTGCAGGTTAATGAACAGAAATGGCACCTGTTGTCCTCTTCATTGATGACCAAAAATGGCACCTATTGTCCTCTTCATAGGGTGAGTCAGCATTTAATCTGCAAAAATTAAATATGTCAAGAAATTGCCTATTATAATTCAAGATATAATGAAGTCTCATTTTTATTAAATTTATACATATTTTTATATGCTCTGATTATTTTCTTGCGGTATATTAATTGATGCAACAGTCTAACACTTTACAAGATGCCTTGCTCATAGGATGGTCTCGTGCATGTTCACTAATCGCTGAATATGAAGGCTTACCTGTCCTGTCCTACTGTATATGCTCAGCAGTTCGTGCCAGTAAATTGAGACTAACATCTCGTACACATATACTGATATACACTAGAAGACGCTAAGCTATCAGGGATCGATTCTTTGAACTAAAACAATGTGTAAAATGCAGCTATTCTTAAGAATAATGCAATGGGAACATTGCCGAAAAGAAATCCCTAAGAAATTTATTTAAAATGTTTCTAAGTGATTGCTTTTTCTACTGTAACTACAGAATTTTCTGGAGACATTAAAAATTTCTCCGACTGTTTACCAATGTAACAACGAAATTACATGGAAAATCTTTCTTCCTTAACACTGATCTAGTAAGCGGAATTCTTTAAGAATGAACCAAGTAAGATATAGCTACAAAAACTGTTGCTCTAAGCTCACTTTATTCTGTGTATCTGAGGAGTTCAACAAGATCTGCAGTTTTTATGTTCATGCGAATATTCATCTGTACCATTGCCCAAGCGTATTATTACAAAGGTCAACAACCAAAATGATTCAGAGACTAAAGTAGCAATTTCCAACTAATTTTAGGTCACTGATAATGAATATCATGGTTAAAAATTGTTTGTTAACTCTACTTTTCAATATACACCAATATACTTTTTATTATACACCAACGTGTCACAACAGTTTCCAACAGGCTTGTGGCATATGTTTCTTACCACACTCACAGTCTCGCTGACCTTTATTATTGGTCCAGCAGTCATAGAAGGTGGTTGTGATGTTCAAGTTTATATTTTGAGGTGAAAGGTAGGTGATTTTCTTAGCCAAAAACTTTTTAAACATATAATAAATATTCCCTGAGAAAGCTACTGATATGCATATGATGCATATTATATTAATTTTAATTTCCTCCTGAATGATAAAATACTTGTCTAGCTGTCATGCTTTGTATTATAATGATAAATTAATGAATACATTTTCTGTTTATCTTCTAATTGTTTGTTGTTTTCTTCTTTCAGGTGCCTCGTACTTGTGTGAATAGTACAGACAACTTCTGCTACATTTGTGGTAAGGTGACCTTTGCACCACAGAAGCGCCGTATAACTGCTATGGTTAGAAAGGCATATCGCCTATATTTTGGATACAAGATTTGTGACCAGGATAAGAACTGGTCTCCACACATATGCTGTAACAATTGTGCTACTAACCTTCACCAGTGGTTGAATAGGAAGAGAAAAGGAATGCCTTTTGCTGTGCCAGTGACATGGCAGGAGCCAACAGACCACATCAACAATTGTTATTTCTGTATGGTACCTCCAGTACAAAATGGTTTGTCAAAGAAAACAAAGGAGTCCATTGAATATCCAAACATTTCATCAGCTATTCGCCCAGTTCCACATGGAGGTCTACCTGTTCCTGATGCACCAACTTTAGTATCCTTCGAGTCAAATGAAGAAAGTGGTGAGGAGGAAGAAGAGAAGGATGACAGTGCTGGATTACAGTGAGCCATACTTCGATGAAGCACACTCCTTTGGCCATTTCTTATAAGAAAAGCGGAACTCCATGACCTTGTCAGGGATCTGCAACTAGCCAAAAATAAGGCAGAGCTGCTAGGCTCTCGTCTTCAACAATGGAATCTCCTAGCAGCTGACATTGGCAAGAGATGATTCTTCAGCTCACTATAAGCGTCAAGTAAAAAGGCAGAAAGTAGGTACGGATTAGAGTTTATAACATACTCATACATATTGTACGTTATAATAAAATAATCAAATATTACAGGTCTCTCGTATCTTTAAACTTATAGCCAATAAGCATTTTTCAAGGTGATATTTGGATTCAGGACATGAAAATATATAAGAATTAACTAATCCCATTTAAGAAGCATACAACTTTTCAAAAATTGTTGACCAGTGTTATTATTATTATTAATTATTTATATTCACCTATTCACCTATAATTTTGTGAGGTATGAAACATGAAGGTCTAATATTTCAGGCAACTTATAACATCATTGTAAAGGATAATTTACTATTTATGTCATTAAAATTTGACAACAACCTGATAAACATCGCAGGTAAAATTAATATGAACATCAGGTTAGTGATGATATTGCATGTCTTGGACTAACATAGAGCTCTGCACCGCTGAAGAATTTCTTTTATATAGAGCCAGTAAGTGTACTCACTATCTGATTTGTTAACAAGTATCAAAGAATAAAATTATTTGAGAACTGATAAAGAAAAAAATTAGACTAATGATGTGGAATTATTTTTACATAGTTTCCTAAATGTAGAACATATAAATGAATAATATAATAATTACGTATTAAATATGATGCTATTTGGACCCTTCGAGAAATTTCGAGTGAGGGGGAAGACAGAACAGCCGGGGAAGTGACGCCTCAGAGTGGGACGCTATTTGTAATTTGTGAACACTGGTTGTTGTGGGAAATTCTGCTAATAATCTACGTGTGAGTCATACCATGGCTTGTTGTAGTGTTTTAGAATCTCAGGTTCAAGTATTGAAGAAGGAGATTCTACTTCTTTAGGAGGAAAATAGGAGGCTGAAGCTTCGCATAGATGAGTTTGGGAGCGAGTGTGAGAAGGATTTAGCTGGTAAAGTAGGAATGGTCACCAGCAGCGATAGTGGCAGCCGCTTTAAGTGGCAAGTGGTTCACAGTTCAGGAAGAAGGAAGATGAGAGTTAATGGAGAAGATGTGAAGGTAGGAAATCGATTCTCTGTTCTCCAAGACGAGTGTACTTCAGTGGTTAGTGAGGTTGAAGGTACCACTGATTCCCCTGCTAATCAAGGTGAGAATATTTTAATAGGCGATTCTCAGGTAAGATATATGGACCGTGCATTTTTGAAACAGAGACAGAAAGGTCAGACAGAGATTTTTGCTTCCTGGAGCTGGTGTTGGCGACATAGCCCAGCAGGTTGGATAAAAATTATGACAGGTAAGGGAACAAGTCCATTATCTGTTTTAGTGGTGGGGGTAATGACATTGGGAAGGCAGGGAGAGGGAGCTGCTGGATAAGTAAGGTCAGCCATATAGAGTTAGGTTAAGGGAGGGATCCCAGTCATATTTAGCATCTTGCCTAAAAAGGGAGTGGGCAATGAATGGATGTCTAGGGCAATTGGTATAAATTGCTGGCTAGACAAGTACTGCAAGGAACTTGCAATCCCATTCATTGATAACTGGGACCTATTCTTTGGCAAACGTGATATGTATGCAAGGGATGGGGTTCATCTCTCTGGGGATGGAGTGGTTGCATTAGCCAATTCAATTGAGAGGGTAATTGATGACTTGTCTAGGAATTTAAAGTGATGGGTGTTTGTGGGAAACAATCAGGCTGCAGCATTAGGGTTAAAAACAGCAGTTATTACCGGGATACCTCAGGGATATGTTTAAAAGACAATATTCAAAATAAAGTTGCTAGTAATGGCAAATCAATTGATCAACAAAGAGAGATAGTAGAGGGCAACGAGTGACTAGCTCCCTTAAGGTTTACTATACAAACAGTAGGAGTCTAAGAAATAAGATAGATGAGCTAAAATTACTTGCAAGTGTAGATAATATAGAATTAATTTGGGATAACAGAGACCTGGTTCACCTGAAAGATAGAGAAATGCCTTCTGAATGCAACATACAGGGTTATAAACTATTCCACACTGATAGAGTCAAAAAGGAAGGGTGGTGGTGTGGGGATGTCAGAGAAAATTTAAATTTTTGTCTTAGACATGATATAAGATTTTGAAAAAATCGAACACGAATCTGTTTGGCACAGTTTCTCGAGGGACGTGGCAAATTAATTTGGGTGTGATTTATAGGCCCCCAAACCTTGATAGAGAGGGGCAGTAAAACTATTTTGGGACGAAAATTTATAAGGCATCTAGATATGAAAATGTTGTGATAATGGGGGTTTTTAAAATTTAGACAAATTGATTGAACAATATGACAGGAAGTCTTGAGTCTAGTGACTTTCTTTATACGGTTCAGGATTGGGTTTTTAGAGCATTTTTGAAAAGAACCAACTAGAGGGAAAAAATCTGCTTGACTTGGTTCTTGCCAAAAAAGATTCACTACTTAATAATCTTGAGGTTAATGATGATTGGGGAAAGTGATCACAAATCACTTAGTTTCAATATAACAGGAATTACCCAGATAACTGCAACAAATCTCTGTCCCAGATCTTCGCTTGGCCGACTCATGGGACTGAAAAATTTCTTGGGTGGGCTAAATTGGGGTGTCCTAACTATGGGTCAGGTAGGTGATCTTGGGGTTTCCAATATGACGTTTTTCAAGCATAGTTTCTAGCTACCCGAAACTTTGTTCCGAGTAGGGGAAAATTTGAACTAACAAAAATGATCCCAAATGGATGACCAATAGATTAAAGCATCTCATTGGTCAAAAGAGAGGCATATATAGGCGTATCAAAAGAGGGGATGGGCAGTTAAGAAATCAATTATTCAATTAAAGAGAGAAATAAAAAAGGAATAAGAAAAGCAAAAGGGATTATGAGGCTAAGGTCGCAAGGGATTCAAAGACTAACCCCCAAAAGGGTTCTTTCAGGTATACAGAAATAAGATTAGGGACAAGATTGTCCCACTTAAGAGTAACTCTGGTCAGATCACTGACAGTAATAAGGATATGTGTGAAATTCTAAATACCTACTTCCTCTCAGTTGTCACCCAGGAAAATACTAGCGATATTCCTGAAATAATAGATTATGTAGAAAAGGATGATAAATAAACTATGTACGATTTCGGTAACCAGTGACATGGTCCTCAGACAAATAGAGAAGCTAAAACCTAACAAATTCTCAGGTCCTGATGAACCGTTTGCCAAAGGGGGTTTAAAAGGGAAAGTAAAGAGGAACTTAGCATACCTTTGGCTAATCTTTTTTAAAATATCACTACAAACTGGCATAGTGCGTGATAAGTGGAAAATGGGAAATGTAATACCTATTTACAGGCAGGGGACAGGTCCTTGGCTTCGAACTATAGACCAATAAGCCCTTACCTCCATATGGGAAGATTTATGGAATCAATAATGCCGAAGCAATTCGTTAGCCATCTTGACAGGCACAGATTAATGTTTCTCAACACGGTTTTACAAAGGGGCGTTCCTGTCTTACGAATTTACTAACTTTTTTCACTAAGGTGTTTGAGGAGGTAGATCATGGTAATGAATATGATATTGTGTATATGGACTTCAGTAAGGCTTTCGATAGAGTTCCACACCAGAGGCTGTTGAGGAAACTTAGGGCACACGGAGAAATTTTTTCCTGGGTAAAGGCATGGCTGACAAATAGACAGCAGAGAGTTTGCATAAATGGGGAGAAATCAGAATGGGGGCACGTCACAAGCTTCATATCTAGAAGTATAAATAATAGAAGTCCTCAGGTTGTTCTTCAACTCTATATATCCTTGGTTAGGCCTCATTTAGACTATGCTGCTCAGTTCTGGTCACCGTATTACAGAATGGATATAAATGCTCTGGAAAACGTACAAAGGAGGATGACAAAGATGATCCCATGTATCAGAAATCTTCCCTATGAGGATAGACTGAGGGTCCTGAATCTGCACTCTCTAGAAAGGCGTAGAATTAGGGGGGATAGGATCGAGGTGTATAAATGGAAAACAGGAATAAATAAAGGGGATGTAAATAGCGTGCTGAAAATTTCCAGCCAAGACAGGACTCTCAACAATGGTTTCAAGTTGGAAAAATTCAGATTCAGGAAGGATATAGGAAAGCACTGGTTTGGTAATAGAGTTGTGGATGAGTGGAACAAACTCCCAATTACAGTTATTGAGGCTAAAACGTTGTGTAGTTTTAAAAATAGGTTAGATAAATACATGAGTGGATGTGGGTAGGTGTGAGTTGGACCTGACTAGCTTGTGCTGCTGGGTCTGGTGCAGTGCTTCATCCTTGAGTGGAGATGACCCGACTGGGTGGGTCATTGGGATAATCCGGGGGGTGGATCATTGGTCTAATTCGGGGGGGATGGACCTGCTCTGCATGGGTCAGTAGGCCTGTTGCAGTGTTCCTTCTTTCTTATGTTCTTATGTTCTTTTGTCTTCCGAACCAAATTGGAGGGTTTCGGCCTGAATTTGTTATAGGAACCCGTATGGATGGCGGAAGACAAGGGATACGACCATCACTCACAGGGAAGTGCTCCTTTAGTCCTTGCATTTAGATCTCTAGCTGGCCAGTGTAGAGTCTAGGTGTTAGGCAGGTGTTGTGGTGTGATCCATCTACAGTAATTAAGTGGTAATACGAATTTCTTTTGTGTACCCAGCAAACCTAATTATATACAGTCCACATTGTTTTATAATTTTCCATTATTGGTATTAATGTTTAATACTGTGATTATTAATTTAATGTCAGGTCAAACTTTTTTGTGTGAGTGGTGATGAAGTGGGCATCGAGGGAGTTACAGTTGGGCTACCAACTGTGACTTAAGTCCCACTTATCTCACCCAGATTACTTGCCTGTAATAATTCAGGAAATATCCTGTAAACCTCATACAGGTAATTTGCTCACATAATAATAATAATTTACAAATAATGTACTGCATGAAGGTAACATGTTGGATCCTGTTGTAAATATCCCAGAGACATTGCTTTTATCTATTTGCAATTAATGATCAATCATAATTTTGAAAGTAATGCTGTTAACAATATTTAAAAAAAAAACATCAATTGCATAAACTTGAATGATAATTTGCCTCTGTCATACATTTGTTCCGTTTGTCATAGAGAAGAAAATATAACTTCTAATACCTTTATCTCCTTATAAAGTTAATTAAACCTTACCTTCATACACCTTGAGCTTACATTCACCAGGTGTCTGGTCCCTTAAGTTTGATGGGTTACTACAAATAAATTCTTCATCACACAAGCCAGCATGGTTCCAGATACCTCCACATGGTTCACCAAGAACCTGTGGGTAACAAAAGTAGCTGTAATATTTAGTAGTTGATAATGGAATAATTTAAAAAAAATTATTAATTAATATTTTAAGTCAAAAGAAGTTCAGTAGGATTTAATGAATTACATAATGTTTATTGAAAGTTACAACATAAAAGTGGCTAATGAAATGCAATATAAGTCTTCCATTTTTTGATAAATTTTCCACTTCAGAACTTGGACTCGTCACTTGACAGTGAGAATCCAAGTTGTAATGAAAGATACTTTATTTGCATTAAAGTAGTTAATACTGAGCTGGATAAACTCCCATTTTTTACTTATTAAAATAGATTTTGAAACTAAAATGTTACTATAAAATCCCGTCGTAGACAATAATGTTCAGAAGGTATCTGCACGAATTTTCTTATTTTCTCAAGATGAAGGTATAATGTTGTGATTTTTAAAATTCAGGCATTTGCAATGATTTTTAATGAAAAATTATATGCACATTTTAACATTTGTCAGTGTGGAAAACAAGATTAATGATCCATTCGAACAAAAATTAAAAAAAAAAAAACCTAAATGAAAGTAAAAAAAAAAAAAAAAAGAAAATTTAGTGTATATTGATGTTAAAGAAAACTGCATTGCACAGTGACTCAAATGTCTGAGACAATCAAAAACATCAGAATTCTGTCGAAGGTCAAGAAAGGGCTGATCTTGCTACCATATGCAGCTCATAAGACTGCCATCCCCACGAGCCCCTTTGAGGCGGGGTAGATGGCAGACCAGAGGCCTAGCTTCTCCCTACGAGCCCCGTGAGGGTGGGGAATGTGGGTAGGCCTGGGGACACTTGGTCCCAAAGATGAGGAGGTACTGTACCTCCTCCCATGGGAGACTTAAGTCTCGAGACACTCCCCCAGATAGGGAGCCAAGGCCGGGTCACCACTACTTGGAAAAGACCCGGGCCGGGAGAATACCGGTGAATAAAAAAAAAAATCAGAATTCTATTAAAAATGTTAAACAACACATTTCTAATATCAAATTTAGATTTGTAAGAAAAAATACTTTGATGGCTCATTTTACCGTTCAAAAAACTGTTCATCTGATGTTCTAACATTTATGCAGAAGCCAAACGAAGGCAAGTGAACAAAGTTAACAGAGAGAAGGCAAGTGAACAAAGTTAACAGAGAGAAGGCAAGTGAACAAAGTTAACAGAGAGAGGGCAAGTGAACAAAGTTAACAGAGAAGGCAAGTGAACAAAGTTAACAGAGAAGGCAAATGAACAAAGTTAACAGAGAAGGAAAGTGAACAAAGTTAACACAGAGAAGGCAAGTGAACAAAGTTAACAGAGAAGGCAAGTGAACAAAGTTAACAGAGAAGGAAAGTGAACAAAGTTAACACAGAGAAGGCAAGTGAACAAAGTTAACAGAGAAGGCAAGTGAACAAAGTTAACAGAGAAGGCAAGTGAACAAAGTTAACACAGAGAAGGCAAGTGAACAAAGTTAACACAAAGAAGGCAAGTGAACAAAGTTAACAGAGAAGGCAAGTGAACAAAGTTAACAGAGAAGGCAAGTGAACAAAGTTAACACAGAGAAGGCAAGTGAACAAAGTTAACAGAGAGAAGGCAAGTGAACAAAGTTAACAGAGAGAAGGCAAGTGAACAAAGTTAACAGAGAGAAGGCAAGTGAACAAAGTTAACAGAGAGAAGGCAAGTGAACAAAGTTAACAGAGAAGGCAAGTGAACAAAGTTAACAGAGAAGGCAAGTGAACAAAGTTAACAGAGAAGGCAAGTGAACAAAGTTAACACAGAGAAGGCAAGTGAACAAAGTTAACAGAGAAGGCAAGTGAACAAAGTTAACAGAGAAGGCAAGTGAACAAAGTTTACACAGAGAAGGCAAGTGAACAAAGTTAACACAAAGAAGGCAAGTGAATAAAGTTAACAGAGAAGGCAAGTGAACAAAGTTAACAGAGAAGGCAAGTGAACAAAGTTAACAGAGAGAAGGCAAGTGAACAAAGTTAACAGAGAGAAGGCAAGTGAACAAAGTTAACAGAGAGAAGGCAAGTGAACAAAGTTAACAGAGAGAGGGCAAGTGAACAAAGTTAACAGAGAAGGCAAGTGAACAAAGTTAACAGAGAAGGCAAGTGAACAAAGTTAACAGAGAAGGGAAGTGAACAAAGTTAACACAGAGAAGGCAAGTGAACAAAGTTAACAGAGAAGGCAAGTGAACAAAGTTAACAGAGAAGGCAAGTGAACAAAGTTAACAGAGATGGAAAGTGAACAAAGTTAACACAGAGAAGGCAAGTGAACAAAGTTAACAGAGAAGGCAAGTGAACAAAGTTAACAGAGAAGGCAAGTGAACAAAGTTAACACAGAGAAGGCAAGTGAACAAAGTTAACAGAGAAGGCAAGTGAACAAAGTTAACAGAGAAGGCAAGTGAACAAAGTTAACACAGAGAAGGCAAGTGAACAAAGTTAACACAAAGAAGGCAAGTGAACAAAGTTAACAGAGAAGGCAAGTGAACAAAGTTAACAGAGAAGGCAAGTGAACAAAGTTAACACAGAGAAGGCAAGTGAACAAAGTTAACACAGAGAAGGCAAGTGAACAAAGTTAACACAGAGAAGGCAAGTGAACAAAGTTAACACAGAGAAGGCAAGTGAACAAAGTTAACAGAGAAGGCAAGTGAACAAAGTTAACACAGAGAAGGCAAGTGAACAAAGTTAACAGAGAAGGCAAGTGAACAAAGTTAACAGAGAAGGCAAGTGAACAAAGTTAACAGAGAAGGCAAGTGAACAAAGTTAACACAGAGAAGGCAAGTGAACAAAGTTAACAGAGAGAAGGCAAGTGAACAAAGTTAACAGAGAGAAGGCAAGTGAACAAAGTTAACAGAGAGAAGGCAAGTGAACAAAGTTAACACAGAGAAGGCAAGTGAACAAAGTTAACAGAGAAGGCAAGTGAACAAAGTTAACACAGAGAAGGCAAGTGAACAAAGTTAACAGAGAAGGCAAGTGAACAAAGTTAACAGAGAAGGCAAGTGAACAAAGTTAACAGAGAAGGCAAGTGAACAAAGTTAAGAGAGAGAAGGCAAGTGAACAAAGTTAAGAGAGAGAAGGCAAGTGAACGAAGTTAACAGAGAGAAGGCAAGTGAACAAAGTTAACACAGAGAAGGCAAGTGAACAAAGCTAACAGAGAAGGCAAGTGAACAAAGTTAACACAGAGAAGGCAAGTGAACAAAGTTAACAGAGAAGGCAAGTGAACAAAGTTAACAGAGAGAAGGCAAGTGAACAAAGTTAACACAGAGAAGGCTTGTGAACAAAGTTAACAGAGAGAAGGGAAGTGAACAAAGTTAACAGAGAGAAGGCATGTGAACAAAGTTAACACAAAGAAGGCAAGTGAACAAAGTTAACACAGAGAAGGCAAGTGAACAAAGTTAACACAAAGAAGGCAAGTGAACAAAGTTAACACAGAGAAGGCATGTGAACAAAGTTAACACAAGGAAGGCATATGAACAAAGTTAACACAGGGAAGGCAAGTGAACAAAGTTAACACAGAGAAGGCATGTGAACAGAGTTAACACAGGGAAGGCATGTGAACAAAGTTAACACAAGGAAGGCATGTGAACAAAGTTAACACAGGGAAGGCATGTGAACAAAGTTAACACAGGGAAGGCATGTGAACAAACAAAGTTAACTCATACATTCTTAATGCGTCTTCTCAGATCATTGTTTCTGTATTAATAATATTTGAGACAAGTTTGCACAACAGTGTTCACATGACTGTTACTGGGCATTCAATTTAATATAAATCTGAATTAAATATAAATTATTAATTTTTCTAATTTGTCCAGAGTTCTGGGACAACCTGAACATTAAAACTAGATAAAGAGAATCCAGTTAATATCCTTAAGAACAAGTCTGTTGTTTACACTAGTCTCATTAAAGTTATTGTAAGTTAATCCTTTACTGCCAATGACCCCTCAAGAGACGTTCCTTGACGCTGGTGAGGGGCTCTTGATCTAGGGAATTGGATCTGTGCTCCAGTTCCATGAATTGAACCTGAAAGCCTTCCATTCGCCCCCCCCCACATGCGTTGTATAATCCTACGGGTTTATCGCTCATCCATGATTATAATAAAACCAATAAAGGGTTCTTGATCCAAAGAATTTGATTCTTTCTTGGATCAAGCTTGACTGCCTACCATTCCTCAGATTCTTTATAACCTCAATAGGTCTGGATCTTCTTCATAAATGCATTAATAATTACGAGAGTTAATTACTATTTTGGAGGAAATTCATTATAACAATATACTTGCTGACAGTACGACTTTATTCTTGGAGTTTCGAATATACAAGTATTTATAAGTACGAAGTTTAGGGTATAAACGGGTAAATTAACAATAGAATATAATGAATCAAGTAATTCATGTTGGTTTATGAGAATTATGGTAGGGTTATGTTTTATTTGCAAGGAACACCATTACTGTTTTGACAAATTTAGTTTTCTCTCTAGGTTATGGACTATAATCTGGAATATAAAGCTGTGTATCATTATGATACATATCATTAATATTTTTGCAAATAAACAAAAGCACAGTCCAGTGATGTTTTGACCACGATGGCTGTTATTTTTGTACAGCATTTTGTATAACATTTATTTATAAAAAATTGTCTAGTAAATGTAATATATTAATTGTCGTCGTATGGCAATACCAACTTATTCTCGAGTTTCGATTTTGCATCAAGTTCAACTCTTTATCGTATTTTTTCTCATAATTTTGTTTTCTATTAGTCTATGTTGTTACTGTAAACTGGATGTTATCTCAGAGATTTCACAAATTTTCTCTCCTCAATATTCTCAAAAACACAAAAGTGAATACTTCATCTTTTTTTAAAGTTGTATAATTAACAATAAATGTAGAAGCGTGTTTCTGTACTGTCAATAAACATTCAGTTTTAAAGAACTATCATTTCAGTGGATATCTGTATCAAAAGTAGAATGACTGCCTCTCTAACTATCCAGGGAAGTGAGACATTAATTCTGACTAACTAGAAAGTCGTCATGTGACTCAGTACTTGACTTATACAACGCTTGTAATCGATATATCTGATATGATCTAGAATTGCTTATTTGTTTAACGAGTCCTTTTTTGTCCAAAATTTTCACAAATTTGAAAGTGCATTTTTGCTAAAAGCCGAGGGTCTTCAGACTTAGCCAGACGAGAGTATAATTATGAATAAGTTCCTATATTTTCTACACTTTTCGGACTCCCAGAAACTAGCAGCTGCACCTCCACAGTGTTAGAGATACTGAAAGCAGGAGAATATTGACATTGGAACCATGAATCAACTATTTACCATCTTCCCAGGATAACACGGTTACTCTTTTCGAGTTTTGAGGAGCTTTGTAATGTCTGCATAGGTTGGTCTGTCTTAGTGCTGGGAGGCGGGCTGTGACAAAGGTTCTCTTGAAAATATTGCTAGCCTGTTCATATTTGGAAATCGTTCCATCTTATATAAGCCACAATAGATAATGGTGTTCAGACTGAACTGGCGATGCACTGCCGCAGACATACCAATATTTAGTTAAGTCACAAAGAAAAGAGTTACACCATTGTTTGGTCTGAGGGTCGACACGTGTGTTATGATGTAATGAGGGAGATAGGCTTTCTTCTTTTGTGGTACTCTCACGAATTGTTGAGGCTAATTTTTTCACTAATAAGCCATCCCTGCATAAAAATAAAGAAAGTAATTAATTTGATTAGCATTTTTAAAGTAAATTTTATTTAAATGAGGCAACACTTACCTTGAAACATTTTGGACAGCAGCCACAGATGTCACTGCCTACACTGCCGGGGCAGGTCACCTCGGGACACTTACTGCGATTACATCTTGGACAAGACAGACCGGCGCTCCTGGGATACCAGAAATTTGCGTTGCATAAGAAATGAAAAAACTGTATTTGTTGAAATTTGCAACATCCATCCAAATATGTAATGCTGTCAACTTAAGTAAATTAAAAAAAAAAATGTAAATTATTTACGCAGTAAACCGAATTGTATATTATGTGTCTCTACTTTTGTAAACCTGGTTCTAGCTCCTGGAACTTCCTAGCTTGCAGGAGGGGGAGAGGAAGGTCGCGAAAACAAGCTCACCAGAAACAACTCAAGTTAACGACAGAGGGAAATAATAGACAGATGCTGAAGGTAAACATATAATAATACGAAAATTTTAAAATTAAACTTAACAAGCCACTTTAATGAAGCTAAAATCTATGTTGAAGATCTGAAGCGCTTAAGACATTCACAAATTATTCCATGGAAATCAATATTACAATTTATCTAACTAAAAAAATGTTGCGTACACAGACCAGAACCATTTCAATCTCCCACTAAGATACACCAGCACTGAAAGTTTAGAACCAGTCAGAAGAAGCATTCTCTAGCTGTCCCACAGCAACAAATACATCAGTGTTTCAGGTACACCAGTGTTTCAGGTACACCAGTGTTTCAGGTACACCAGTGTTTCAGGTACACCAGTGTTTCAGGTACACTAGGGTTTCAGAAACAACAGTGTTTCAGTTACACCAGTGTTTCAGGTACACCAGTGTTTCAGTTACACCAGTGTTTCAGTTACACCAGTGTTTCAGGTACACCAGTGTTTCAGGTACACTATGTTTCAGAAACAACAGTGTTTCTGGTACACTAGTGTTTCAGGTACACCAGTGTTTCAGTTACACCAGTGTTTCAGTTACACCAGTGTTTCAGTTACACCAGTGTTTCAGTTACACCAGTGTTTCAGTTACACCAGTGTTTCAGTTACACCAGTGTTTCAGTTACATCAGTGTTTCAGTTACACCAGTGTTTCAGTTACACCAGTGTTTCAGTTACACCAGTGTTTCAGTTACATCAGTGTTTCAGTTACACCAGTGTTTCAGTTACACCAGTGTTTCAGGTACAAGAGTGTTTCAGGTACACCAGTGTTTCAGGTACACCAGTGTTTCAGTTAAACTACTGTTTCAGGTACACCAGTGTTCCAGGTACACCAGTGTTTCAGTTACACCAGTGTTTCAGTTACACCAGTGTTTCAGTTACATCAGTGTTTCAGTTACACCAGTGTTTCAGTTACACTAGTGTTTCAGGAACACCTGTGTTTCAGTTACACTAGTGTTTCAGGTACACCAGTGTTTCAGATACACCAGTGTTTCAGCTACACCAGTGTTTCAGCTACACCAGTGTTTCAGTTACGCTAGTGTTTCAGGTACACCAGTATTTAAGTTACACTAGTGCTTCACGTACACCAGTGTTTCAGGTACACCAGAGTTTCAAATACACTAGTCTTTCAGAAACACCAGTGTTTCACTTACACTAGTGTTTCAGGTTCACCAGTGTTTCAGCTACACTAGTGTTTCAGGTACACCAGTGCTTCAGTTAAACTAGTGTTTCAGGTACACCAGTGTATCAGGTAAACCAGTGTTTCAGCTACACTAGTGTTTCAGGTACGCAAGTGTTTCAGTTACACCAGTGTTTCAGGAACACCAGTGTTTCAGCTGCACCAATGGTTCAGGCACACTACTATTTCAGTTACACCAGTGTTTCAGGTACACCAGTGTTTCAGTTACACTAGTGTTTCAGGTACACCAGTGGTTCAGGTAAACCAGAGTTTCAGTTACACTAGTGTTTCAGGTACACCAGTGCTTCAGGTACACTAGTGTTTCAGGTACACTACTGTTTCAGGAACACCAGTGTTTCAAGTACACTAGTGTTTCAGGTACGCCAGTGTTTCAGGTACACCAGTGTTTCAGTTACACGAGTCTTTCAGTTACACCAGTGTTTCAGTTACAAAAGTTTTTCAGGTACACTAGTGATTCAGGTATACCAGTGTTTCAGTTGCACCAGTGTTTCAGGTACAGTAGTGTTTCAGGTGCACCAGTGCTTCAGGTACAGTAGTGTTTCAGGTGCACCAGTGCTTCAGGCACGCTAGTGTTTCAGGCACACCAGTGTTTCAGTTACACCAGTGTTTTCGGTACACCAGTGTTTCCGGTACACCAGCGATTCAGATACACCAGTGTTTCAGTTACACCAGTTTTTCAGGTACACCAGTGTTTCAGGTACAACAATGTTTCAGGTACGCCATGTTTCAGTTAGTGTTTCAGGTACACCAGTGTTTCAGGTACACCAGTGTTTCAGGTACACCAGTGTTTCAGGTACACCAGTGTTTCAGGTACACCAGTGTTTCAGATACACCAGTGGTTCAGCTACACCAGTGTTTCAGCTACACCAGTGTTTCAGTAACGCTAGTGCTTCAGGTACACCAGTGTTTCAGGTACAAAAGTGTTTCAAATACACTAGTCTTTCAGATACACCAGTGTTTCACTTACACTAGTGTTTCAGGTACACCAGTGTTTCAGCTACACTAGTGTTTCAGGTACACCAGTGCATCAGTTAAACTAGTGTTTCAGGTACACCAGTGTATCAGGTACACCAGTGTTTCAGCTACACTAGTGTTTCAGGTACGCAAGTTTTTCAGTTACACCAGTGCTTCATGTACACCAGTGTTTCAGTTACACTAGTGTTAGAGGTACACCAGTGTTTCAGGTACACCAGTGATTCAGATACACTAGTGTTTCAGTTACACCAGTGTTTCAGATACATCAGTATTTCAGTTACACCAGTTTTTCAGGTACACCAGTGTTTCAGGTACACTACCGTTTCAGGTACACGAGTGTCTCAGGTACACCAGTGTTTCAGGTACAACAATGCTTCAGGTACGCCATGTTTCAGTTAGTGTTTCAGGTACACCAGTGTTTCAGGCACACCAGTGTTTCAGTAACTCTAGTGTTTCAGGTACACCAGTGTTTCAGGTACACCAGTGTTTTAGTTTCACCAGTGTTTCAGGTACACCAGTGTTTCAGGAGGCCTGGTCTCAGACCGGGCCGCGGGGGCGTTGACCCCCGGAACTCTCTCCAGGTAAACTCCAGGTAAACACCAGTGTTTCAGGTACACCAGTGTTTCAGGTACACCAGTGTTTCAGTTACACTAGTGTTTCAGGTACACCAGTGTTTCAGGTACACCAGTGTTTTAGTTACACCAGAGTTTCAGGTACACCAGTGTTTCAGGTACACCAGTGTTTCAGTTGAGAACAATGTTTCAGTTACACCAGTGTTTTAGGTACACCAGTGTTTCAGTTACACCAGTATTTTAGTTACACCAGTGTTTCAGGTACACCAATGTTTTAGGTACACCAGTGTTTCAGGTACACCAGTGTTTCAGTTACATTAGTGTTTCAGGCACACCAGTGTTTCAAGTACACCAGTGTTTCAGCAACGCCAGTGTTTCAGGTACACCAGTGTTTCAAGTACCAGTGTTTAGGTACACTAGTGTTTCAGGTACACTAGTGTTTCGGGTGCACCAGTGTTTCAGTTACATTAACGTTTCAGGTACACCAGTGTTTAAGGTACACTAGTGTTTCAGGTACACCAGTGTTTCAGGTACACCAGTGTTTCCGGTAGACCAGTGTTTCAGTTACACCAGTGTTTCAGTTACACTAGTGTTTTAGGTGTTTCAGTTACATCAGCGTTTCAGGTACACCAGTGTTTCAGTTACACTTGTGTTTCAGGTACACCAGCGTTTCAAGTACACCAGTGTTTCAATTACACTAGTCTTTCAGGTACACCAGTGTTTCAAGTACACCAGTGTTTCAGTTATACCAGTGTTTCAATTACACCAGTGCTTCAGGTACATTAGTGTTTCAGGTATACCAGTGTTTCAGGTAAACCAGTGTTTAATGTACACTAGTGTTTCAGGTACACTAGTGTGTCTGGTACACCAGTGTTTCAGGTGCACCAGTGTTTCAGTTACACTAGTGTTTCAGATACACCAGTGTTTCAAGTACACCAGTGTTTCAGTTATACCAGTGTTTCAATTACACCAGTGTTTCAGCTACACTAGTGTTTCAGTTACACCAGTGTTTCAGTTACACCAGTGTTTCAGTTACACTAGTGTTTTAGGTGTTTCAGTTACATCAGCGTTTCAGGTACACCAGTGTTTCAGTTACACTTGTGTTTCAGGTACACCAGCGTTTCAAGTACACCAGTGTTTCAATTACACTAGTCTTTCAGGTACACCAGTGTTTCAGTTACACTAGTGTTTCAGGTACGCCAGTGTTTCAGCTACACCAGTGTTTCAGCTACACTAGTGTTTCAGGTACACCAGTGTTTCAGTTACACTAGTGTTTCAGGTACACCAGTGTTTCAGGTACACCAGTGTTTCAGGCACACTAGTGCTTCAGGTACACCAGTGTTTCAGGTACACCAGTGTTTCAGTTACACTACTGTTTCAGGTACACCAGTGTACCAGGTACACTTGTGTTTCAGCTACACCAGTGTTTCAGTTACACCAGTGTTTCAGTTACACCAGTGTTTCAGTTACACTAGTGTTTCAGGTACACCTGTGTTTCAGTTACACTAGTGTTTCAGGTACTCCATTGTTTCAGATACACCAGTGTTTCAGCTACACCAATGTTTCAGCTACACCAGTGTTTCAGTTACGCTAGTGTTTCAGGTACACCAGTGTTTCAGGTACACCAGTGTTTAAGTTACACTAGTGTTTCAGGTATGCCAGTGTTTCAGGTACACCAGTGTTTCAAATACACTAGTCTTTCAGGTACACCAGTGTTTCACTTACACTAGTGTTTCAGGTACACCAGTGTTTCAGGTACACTAGTGTTTCCGGTTCACCAGTGCTTCAGTTAAACTAGTGTTTCAGGTACACCAGTGTATCAGGTACACCAGTGTTTCAGCTACACTAGTGTTTCAGGAACGTAAGTGTTTCAGTTACACCAGTGTTTCAGTTGAGAACAATGTTTCAGTTACACCAGTGTTTTAGTTACACCAGTGTTTCAGTTACCCCAGTATTTTAGTTACACCAGTGTTTCAGGTACACCAGAGTTTCAGTTGCAATATTGTTTCAGTTACACTAGTGTTTCAGGTACACCAGTGCTTCAAGTACCAGTGTTTAGGTACACTAGTGTTTCAGGTACACTAGTGTTTCAGGTGCACCAGTGTTTCAGTTACATTAACGTTTCAGGTACACCAGTGTTTAAGGAACACCAGTGTTTCAGGTACGCCAGTGTTTCAGTTGGTGTTTAAGGTACACCAGTGTTTCAGGTACACCAGAGTTTCAGTTGCAATATTGTTTCAGTTACACTAGTGTTTCAGGTGCACCAGTGTTTCAGGTACACCAGTGTTTCAGGTACACCAGTGTTTCAGTTACACTAGTGTTTCAGGAACACCAGTGTTTCAGCTACACCAGTGTTTCAGGAACACCAGTGTTTCAGTTACACAAGCGTTTCAGTTACACCAGTGTTTCTGTTACACAAGTGTTTCAGGTTAACCAGTGTTTCAGGTAAGCCAGTGCTTCAGGTACACTAGTTTTTCAGGTATATCAGTGTTTCAAATAAACCAGTGGTTCAGGTACACTAGTGTTTCAGGTACACTAGTGCTTCTGGTACACCAGTGTTTCAGGTACACCAGTGTTTCAGTTATACCAGTGTTTCAATTACACCAGTGTTTCAGCTACACTAGTGTTTCAGTTACATCAGTGTTTCAGTTACACCAGTGTTTCAGTTACACTAGTGTGTCAGTTACACCTGTGTTTCAGTTACACCAGTGTTTCAGTTACACTATTGTTTCAGGCACACTAGTGTTTCGGCTTCGCTAGTGTTTCAGGTACACCAGTGTTTCAGTTACGCTAGTGTTTCATTTTCACCAGTGTTTCAGGTACACCAGTGTTTCAGTTACACTTGTGTTTCAGTTACACCAGGGTTTCAGGTACACCAGTGTTTCAGTTACACTTGTGTTTCAGGTACACCAGTGTTTCAGGTACACCAGTGTTTCAATTACACTAGTCTTTCAGGTACACCAGTGTTTCAGTTACACTAGTGTTTCAAGTACACCAGTGTTTCAGCTACACCAGTGTTTCAGCTACACCAGTGTTTCTGCTGCACCAGTGTTTCAGCTATACTAGCGTTTCAGGTGCACCAATGTGTCAGTTACACTAGTGTTTCAAGTACACCAGTGTTTCAGGTACGCCAGTGTTTCATATGTAGCAGTGTTTCAGTTACACCAGCGTTTCAGGTACACAAGTGGTTCAGTTACACTAGTGTTTCAGGTACATCAGTGTTTCATGGAAACCAGTGCTTTATGTACACTAGTGCTTCAGGTATACCAGTGTTTCAGGTAAACCAGTGTTTCAGGTACACAAGTGTTTGTGGTACACCAGTGTTTCAGGTACACCACTGTTTGAGTTACAGTAGTGTTTCAGGCACACTAATGTTTCAGGTACACCAGTGTTTCATTTATACTAGTGTTTCAGTTACACCAGTGTTTCAGCTACTCTAGTGTTTCAGTTACACCAGTGTTTCAGTTACACTAGTATTTCAGTTACACTAATGTTTCAGGTACACTAGTGTTTCAGCTACACTAGTGTTTCAGGCACACTAGTGTTTCAGGTACACCAGTGTTTCAGTTACACAAGTGTTTCAGGTACACCAGTGTTTAAGTTACGCTAGTGTTTCAGGTACACCAGTTTTTCAGGTACACCAGTGTTTCGATTACACTTGTCTTTCAGGTACACCAGTGTTTCATTTACACTAGTGTTTCAGGTACACCAGTGTTTCAGGTAAACCATTGCTTCAGGTACACTAATGTTTGAGGTATATCAGTGTTTCAGGTAAACCGGTGTTTCAGGAACACTAGTGTTTCAGGTACTCTAGCGTTTCTGGTACACCAGTGTTTCAGGTACACCAGTGTTTCAGGTACACCAGTGTTTCAGGTACACCAATGTTTCAGTTACACTAGTGTTTCTGGTACACCAGTGTTTCAGTTACACCACTGTTTCAGGTTCACCGGTGTTTCAGTTACACTAGTGTTTCAGGTGCACCAGTGTTTCAGGTACGCCAATGTTTTAGGTACACCAGCGTTTCAGTTACACTAGTGTTTCAGGTACACCAGTGTTTTAGGTACACCGGTGTTTCAGTTACACTAGTGTTTCAGGTACATCAGTGTTTCAGGTAAACAAGTGCTTTATGTACACTAGTGTTTCAGGTATACCAGTGTTTCAGGTAAACCAGTGCTTTATGTACACTATTGTTTCAGGTACACCAATGTTTCAGTTACACTAGTGTTTCAGGCACACCAGTGTTTCAGTTACACTAGTGTTTCATGCTCACCAGTGTTTCAGGTACACCAGTGTTTCAGTTACACTAGTGTTTCAGTTACACTAGTGTTTCAGGTACACTAGTGTTTCAGCTGCGCTAGTGTTTCAGGTACACCAGTGCTTCAGCTACACCATTGTTTCACGTACACCAGTGTTTCAGTTACGCTAGTGTTTCAGGTACACCAGTATTTCAGTTACACTAGTGTTTCAGGTACACCAGTGTTTCAGGTACACCAGTGTTTCAATTACACTAGTCTTTCAAATACACCAGTGTTTCATTTATACTAGTGTTTCAGCTATGCCAGTGTTTCAGGTACACCAGTGTTTCAGCTACACTAGTGTTTGAGGTACACCAGTGTTTCAGTTACACTAGTGTTTTAGGTACACCAGTGTTTCAGCTACACTAGTGTTTCAGGTACACTTTTGTTCCAATAACACCAGTGTTTCAGGTACACTAGTGTTTCAGGTACACTAGTGTTTCTGGTACACCAATGTTTCAGGTACACCAGTGTTTCAGGTACACAAGTGTTTCAGTTAAACTAGTGTTTCAGGTACACCAGTGTTTCAGTTACACCAGTGTTTCAGGTACACCGGTGTTTCAGTTACACCAGTGTTTCAGGTACACCAGTGTTTCAGTTACACCAGTGTTTTAGGTACACCGGTGCTTCAGCTACACCACTGTTTTAGGTACACCGGTGTTTCAGTTACACTAGTGTTTCAGGTACACCAATGTTTCAGGTGCACTACTGTTTGAGGTACACCAGTGTTTCAGGTACACTAGTGCTTCAGGTACAATACTGTTTCATGTACACAGTGTTTCAGGTACACTAGTATTTCAGGTACACCAGTGTTTCAGTTACATTAGTGTTTCAGGTACACCGGTGTTTCAGGTACACCAGTGTTTCAGATACACCAATGTTTCAGTTACACTAGTGTTTCAGGTACACCAGTGTTTTAGATGCACTGATGTTTCAAGTACACCAGTGTTTCAGGTAAACCAGGGTTTCAGGTACACTAGTGTTTCAGGTATACCAGTGTTTCATGTACACCAGTGTGTCAGGTACACCACTGTTTTAGTTACATTAATGTTTCAGGTACACCAGTGTTTCAGGTACGCCAATGTTTCAGGTACGCTAGTGTTTCTGTTAGTGCTTCAGGTACAACAGTGTTTCAGGTAAACCAGTGTTTTAGGTACACCGGTGTTTCAAGTACACCAGTATTTCAGGTACACCAGTGTTTCAGTTACACCAGTGTTTCAGGTACACCAGTGTTTCAGGTACACCGGTGTTTCAAGCACACCAGTGTTTCAGTTACACTAGTGTTTCAGGTACACCAGTGTTTCAGGTACACCAGTGTTTCAGTTACACTAGTGTTTCAGGTACACCAGTGTTTCAGGTACACCAGTGTTTCAGGTACACCAGTGTTTCAGGTACACCGGTGTTTCAGGTACACCGGTGTTTCAGGTACACCGGTGTTTCAGGTACACCAGTGTTTCAGGTACACCAGTGTTTCAGGTACACCAGTGTTTCAGGTACACCGGTGTTTCAGGTACACCAGTGTTTCAGGTACACCAGTGTTTCAGGTACACCAGTGTTTCAGGTACACCAGTGTTTCAGGTACACCAGTGTTTCAGGTACACCAGTGTTTCAGGTACTAGTGTAGTTTTTGAAAGTGTTGATCTGCAGCTACTGGACCTCTTGGGAAATTTGATCATTTCTCTGTGTAATTTCTATTTTGGGCTGCATTACAAATTTATGCCGCACCTTGTACCATTCCTTTTGTGTAGTAAAGGCAGAAAGAGTTGGGGTTATGGGCCACGAGGAAACAATTCTAGGATGGCGTAGCGACCAAAACACACGTAGTTTAATACTGACTGCGCAGTTTTCTATGCGTTTCATGACCACTTCTCACTCAGCAATTTCCCGTATATTTAACAGTAACATGCACCATGCATTAAGCCATAAGCTTAAAAATTGGTTCACCAGTGTTATTTATCTCCTTCAGTGTTATGGAATGGAGAGCTTCATTAAGAGGTATTTAAGCCTGTAACACCTTATTTTGACTCTGCGATCGTCTTATATCAGAGACAAATATGTTGTCTTTCCTCATCTCTCTATTCTGTCTGCTTAGTGGAAATTGATCCAATATTTATTTTTCTTAATAATATAATAACTAATGCCAAAACCATTTTAGTTAAGTAATATAAACTATAGATACATATGATGACACAGCCACATGAAGCAGAACACATGTGTTATCAATTCGTCCGTCAAGCAGTGTGTATACATAGCATAACAAGGTGTTATGAAAAGACTTAAGTTTGCTAAGCGTTGCAAAATACATAGTAAAATAAAACAAATGTACAAGAAGCAGACCAAATTACTGTAGACTTACAAGTGAAGGAGAGCCAACAGCAGCAGCAGTGACACACCAGATCCACCCATCACTGTTGTTCAAGTCTCTACCACAAGTGCTGAGAGGATAAAATGGGATCAGTAGGAATCACTGGCAAGGAGTAATAATGTGAGGTTTGAATCGTCAAGGAGGTGGGAACAACTCTCGTCATTATATAACAAAAACCCCTCTTCAAATCCGCTTAAATTGGCCAGGCCATTTAACATTTATTACCTCTCACTGTCTACCTATAAAATTTATCCCTGAAACATCATGCCTCAGTCCTCAGATAATTTTCATCGATCTGAAGCTCTAACTGGTTGAAAAAAAAACTATGATATTATCCTAACACCACAAGACTTTGAAAAGAAAGTTCTTGGAAGTACTTGAGATAAAGATTTCCACCCCCACGGCTTGTCTTGGATTGTTAAGATCGTCTGTCTGCTATTGTCTGTCTAATGAACGCCACTCGAAAACTCTTCTCCCATTTTTCCCGTCTGTTTCCTTTCTTGACTTTTGATGTTACCTCGTACAAACGTTCACCCTTCAAATAACACTAAGCTGCACTCAAGTTAGTATTTCTATGCAAGTGCCTATGTGAACAGGTTCTACCGAAATCTGTACTACAGAACACGTTAGCGCTCACTGAAAATAATGAACTACTACTATATAGAAAGAAGATGCTTTTTATAGACATGAGAAGAGCCAAGACGGTATTCTTTAACATGATTCCCCCAGGCTGGCAGGACCACTTGATTCATTATATTTACAGTGAGCTCAAAAGAGTCAGAGAGAACACAGAACACGTGCATACGAGGAAGTTAAATAATCTCATAGGACAGAGTGGTTGAACCACACATGCAAATCCAGAGATTGTTATGAACCTGTCTAGCAAATAATAAAGTAGTGACCAGTAGGCAGCGCTGGGTTAAGCTTCGCGCTGGCAACTAAGGATGTTAATTGTGTAAACCTAGCAAAATCGTTTCTCATGCTAGAAAAACATGGTGACCTGACGCTTGATACATTCAATATGTGTAAAGGAATGGTACATTGGCCTTTACTCCGTCCTATGTTTCCAAACTGCCCGTTAAGATTCACAAAAACATACGAAGAGCACAGTGACGATCAAACTTTTCATCTCTCGACAAGGAATAAATCTAAAGCAGTTGTGATTTTAGATAAATCTGAATATTTACGGAAAATGAACCATTTATTGAGTGACAATGAAACGTATGAACCGCTCATTAGGAACCCCGTTGACCAGATCAACGGACATTTCAATAAACGTTTTAAAACATTGCTGAAGGTGAATGATGACTTAATTTAACACCTGTAAGCTAGGTCGGTTATTCTACCGTATCTTTATGGGTTGATCTAAGATTGTAGGCCATGAAATCCAGTTCGTCTTATTACAAGTTCAGTTGGCTGGGCAACATGTAACCTATCTAAATAGTTCGTTAAACTTTTAACTCCCACAGTTGTAGGATTTGGGATGCGCATATTAAAAATAATGTTGATCTTACTGAAATGGTCCAGAAATGAAATGTCTCACCCTTGTGAATTTTGATGTCACAGCCCTGATTACCAGAGTCACTGTCCCTGACTTGCTTACGTACCTTGAAGAAGAACTAGAAAATTTCTTCTTGCCCACGAATGTAATCATTGAACTGATTAAACGTTGTGTCACTGATTGCAAGTTTGTGTTTGAAGGCAAATCTTATGCTCAAAAATAAGGCCTGGCCATGGTAAATCCCCTCATCCCCTTACTCAGCAACGTGTATATGGAATTCTATGAGACTAGACTCCTTAAACATATTCTTCGAAATAAAACTAGGTGTTTCAAATGGAGACGATGTTCTTTGCCTTTGGCCTAGTGGCCACAACATTGATGAGTTCCTACCCAGACTCAGTTGTGCAGTACCTTCCATTAAGTCCACAGTAGAGCATGAAATAGGCAACATTCTAGCTTTCCTAGATGTTTTAATCCATCGTGCCAACAGAAAATTCAAATTTACAGTTGATAGGAAGTCCATCAATGTGTCGCGATACATTCATTATTATTCCAATCGTGAATCTAGGGTTAAAAGAAGTGTTTTCCATACACTGTTCCTGAGAGCTTTTCATATCAGCAGTCCATAGTATTTAGAAGACGAAATCAGTAAGATATTTAACATAGCCACAAAACTGAGATACCGCAGAGATTTTGTGGAGAAGGTCTATAGTAGGCTAGAAAGACTTTCTATACAATTGAAAATAAGGAAAATCTTCCAGGAAAAATATACTGGTCTTACCATACAATGAAAATTTGGTCAGTCTGCGTGAGGCACGTAAAAAGTTCAATATAAATCTTACTTTCAAAAACACTGAGACAGTGAAACAGAAGTTCATTAAAAACACGCTGCCTAATAATGTGGGTGGTGTTTACAAGGTCCCATGCACTCTCTACCCGCTCTCATATATTGGGCAAAGAGTTAAACCTTTGGAAACCAGATTATCCCAACACCAGTACTCAACCAGGACGGGCCAGGAGTCGAATGCTATCTTTAACCATGTCAGTTCTTGTAATCACCCACCGTGGTGGGCTGCTGCCCAGATCATTGTACCCAACAGTTCTGTGATGGAAAGAAACATACTTGAATCCTTGTTCTTGATACATGATAAGAATGCTGTATATAACTCAAATTACGGGTTATATAAGCTCGATAGCTATTTAGTGGAATCTGTTGTGCACAGCCTTTAACAACAATGCTATACAAAATCGCAGGATTGCTCATTATGCCAGGGGGTCTCGTGATGCTCTGGTGATGTTAGAGCAGTGTCTGCACACCGAACATCATGTTACGTCCGTCGTGAACGTCGATAAAATATAATATACATAACATCATGTTACATCGTGAACGTTGACAAAATATATTAAATAACATCATGTTACGTCCACTGGACGTTGACAAAATATAATATATGACATCACGGTACATCCGGCGTGAAGATCGACAAAATATAATACTATATAACATTATGTCACATCCGTCGTGAACGTAACGTCGACATAATATATAACCCGTTTAGCTACTACTGCATATAGATATCGCAGGTTACAGGTATACGAGGTTAAATGGTTCCAATCATTGACTGCATTTATTTATTTTATTTATTTATTATTATTTGGACATGATACATAGTTGTACAAAAGAAATACAGTGGTTGAGTGTACATGCCAGAAGCCCCTTGTATGCAGAGCATTATGGATTAACTAAGCAATGATATATTCAGTGGTAAAAATTACAGTAAACAAATTACAACATAAGAACATAAGAAAGAAGGAACACTGCAACAGGCCTACTGACCCATGCTGAGCAGGTTCATGTCACCCCCGGATTAGACCAATGACCCATCCCCCGGATTATCCCAATGACCCACCCAGTCTGGTCATCTCTACTCAAGGATGGAGCACTGCACCAGACTCAGCAGCACAAGCTAGTCAGGTCCAACTCACACCCACCCACACCCACTCATGTATTTATCTAACCTATTTTTAAAACTACACAACGTTTTAGCCTCAATAACTGTACTCGGGAGTTTGTTCCACTCATCCACAACTCTATTACCAAACCAGTGCTTTCCTATATCCTTCCTGAATCTGATTTTTTCCAAACTGAAACCATTGCTGCGAGTCCTGTCTTGGCTGGAAATTTTCAGCACGCCTTTACATCCCCTTTATTTATTCCTGTTTTCCATTTATACACCTCGATCATATCCCCCCTAATTCTACACCTTTCGAGGGAGTGCAGATTCAGGGCCCTCAGTCTATCCTCATAGGGAAGATTTCTGATACATGGGATCATCTTTTTCATCCTCTTTTGTACGTTTTCCAGAGCATTTATATCCATTCTGTAATACGGTGACCAGAACTGAGCAGCATAGTCTAAATGAGGCCTAACCAAGGATATATAGAGTTGACGAACAACCTGAGGACTTCTATTATTTATACTTCTAGATATGAAGCCAAGAATTCCGTTAGCTTTATTGCGAACACTAATGCGCTGTTGTCTTGGTTTTAGGTTACTGCTAACCAGAACTCCTAAATCCTTTTCGCAATCAGAAGTATTAAGATCTACATTATCTAGTTTATATGTGGCATTGTTATTTAACTGTCCAACATTTAGAACTTTGCATTTGTCAATATTAAACTGCATCTGCCGCTTCTCCGACCATTGCGTCAGTCTATTCAAATCATCGTGGAATGTTCTAATGTCCTCATTAGAATGAATTGGACGGCCTATTTTGGTGTCATCAGCAAATTTGCTTATGTCGCTATTCATTCCCTCATCTATGTCGTTTATGTAAATTGTGAACAACAACGGGCCCAACACTGACCCCTGAGGAACACCGCTTGTGACGTGCCCCCATTCTGATTTCTCCCCATTTATGCAAACTCTCTGTTGTCTTATCTCCATAGTGGGAAAATTTATGGAATCAATAATTGCCGAAGCAATTCATAGCCATCTTGACAGACAAAGATTGATTAATGATTCTCAACACGGTTTTACAAAGGGGCGTTCCTGTCTTACGAATTTACTAACTTTTTTCACTAAGGTGTTTGAGGAGGTAGATCATGGTAATGAATATGATATTGTGTATATTTACTTCAGTAAGGCTTTCGATAGAGTTCCACACCAGAGGCTGTTGAGGAAACCTAAGGCACACGGAATAGGAGGAGAAATTTGTTCCTTGGTCTCTACCCAGGAAAACATTTCTCCTCCTATTCCGTGTGCCCTAAGTTTCCTCAATAGCCTCTGGTGTGGAACTCTATCGAAAGCCTTACTGAAGTAAATATACACAATATCATATTCATTACCATGATCTACCTCCTCAAACACCTTAGTGAAAAAAGTTAGTAAATTCGTAAGACAGGAACGCCCCTTTGTAAAACCGTGTTGAGAATCATTAATCAATCTTTGCCTGTCAAGATGGCTACGAACTGCTTCGGCAATTATTGATTCCATAAATTTCCCCACTATGGAAGTAAGGCTTATTGGTCTATAGTTCGAAGCCAAGGACCTGTCACTTGCCTTGTAAATAGGTATTACATTTGCCATTTTCCACTTATCAGGCACTATGCCAGTTTGTAGTGATATGTTAAAAAGATTAGCCAAAGGTATACTAAGTTCCTCTTTACATTCCTTTAACACCCTTGCAAACAGTTCATCAGGACCTGGGGATCTGTTAGGTTTTAGTTTCTCTATTTGACTGAGGACCATGTCACTAGTTACCGCAATCGTACATAGTTTATTATCATCCTGTTCTACATGAGTATTTCAAATAAGAAGCTTTACATTTGTACAAATTTGTAGCATAATTTATAATATAATCCGGTCAAGTCGAATAAAATCAATGATTTGCAATGCAGAAACAGGTCATATGGTCATTTGATGAGTTACTGTGCATTCAAGGTAAAGTAATTACAAAAAAAAAAAAAACATAGTTTGATAGGGTCACAGGTTACACATTTATGAGACACAGTTAATCAGTATTTATTTAGTTGTGGGTGAGTGGTTTTTAAGAAGAGTCTTGAATTGATAGACAGTGTTTCTTTTATATTCACAGGCAATGAATTCCAGATTTTTTGGGCCTTTTATGTGCATTGCGTTTTTACATATTGTGAGATGGACACGAGGAACTGTAATCTGTGCCTTGTGTTATGGTCATGTGTTCTGTTGAGGTTGGTAAGGAGAAGTTTGAGGGGAGGGTTTATATCCGAGTTAAGTGTTCTATTTATGTAGTAGGTACAATAATAAGTATGGATGTTTTGTACGGTGAGTAAGTTTAGAGTTCTGAATGTTGGTGGAGTATGCCTGTAGTGGGAATTTGTTATCATTCTGACTGCAGCCTTTTGTTGGGTAATTAATGGTCTGAGATGGTTTTTTGTTGTTGAGCCCCATGCACAAATTCCATAGGTGAGATAGGGGTAAATGAGTGAGTGATACAGGGCCAGGAGGGCTGACTGTGGAACATAGTACCGTATCTTCGATAGTATGCCTACGGTCTCGGAGATTTTCTTGGAAATTTGTTGTATATATGTTTGAAATTTGAGTCTATTATCAAGGTGGATTCCTAAGAATTTTCCCTCTGTTAGCTTTGTGATAGGTGATCCGTTTATCATTATGCTGAGAGGGACATCTGTAGTTCTGTTTCCAAACTGTATGAAGTAGGTTTTGTCAATATTGAGTGTTAATCATCATCCAGGTAGATATTTTCTGTAATTCGGTATTTACAGTATTGGCTAGCGTGACTGGGCTCGGGTGAGAGAAGACGTATGTAGTGTCATCTGCAGATAGTGTGGGTTTGAGTAGTTGCGATGCATTTGGTAGGTCGTTTATGTAAATGAGAGAGAGAAGAGGGCCTAGGACACTTCCCTGTGGGACACCAACTGTAATTGGCTGTGTGGAAAAGTTTGCTCCATTTGTGTACACATATTGGCTTCTGTTGCTAAGGTATGAATTTAGGTAGTTGAGGGAGTGCCCTCTTATACCATAGTGTGACAATTTTATGTGCAGCAAATAATGGTCAACTGTATCAAAAGCTTTACGTAAATCAATGAAGATCTCCAATGGGACTTCTTTTTTCTTGAGTGCAGTATATATTTGTTCTAGCATGTGTATAATAGCATCATTCGTATTTTTATTACGTCTGAACCCAAACTGACAGGGGTTGAGTATGTTGTGGGAGATGAGGTAGGAACAGATTCGCTTATGAATTAATTTTTCAAAGATAGGCAAGTGGGTTCATTCAGGTATTGGTGCGCATGGTCGCAGTTGCAGTGCATGGCACTGCAGGTGCGGATGACCTGAGATAGCTCCGAGTATTCCCTAGAACATTCGAGAAGTTCCCGGACTTGCGGTAATTTAAGTTGAGAAATAAGCGCATTCGTTTCTTCTCTTTAATTAGAATGATACATATAATAGCAGAATCTTATATGTGTATTATCCACCATTGTAACGTAATCTCTTATGTCACGTGACCTGTTCTTAATGATAAGAAAAAGCTTAGGGCTGCCTATTAAATCTCCTAGTTTCTAACATTTCTTCTATATGTAAACTTGGAGGCCGCATATGGTGTGGGACATAGGGTAGAGTGTGTGTGTGGGTGGTGTCAGTCGGCCAGCAGCACATCCCATAACCTGAGAGAGGCTGGAGCGGGTGTCACCTATGCTACCATTCTCTGAGAAGACTTCGCATCATTTCTCCTATAGCTACTCTTACAACATTGCACCGCAACTGACCATGCACTGAGAACTGTGAAAGTACTTGAGCCAAAGCTTTCCACCCCCATGGCTTGTCTTGCATGCGGGTGTCCCGTAGCTCGAACGCTAACGCACTCAGCTCACACACTGAGGTCTGGAGTTCGAATCTCCGGTGCGGCTGAAAAACATTAGGGACGTGTTTCTATAAGACACCTGCTGTCCCTGTTTACCCATCAGTATAAAATGGGTACCTGGATGTTAGTCGGCTGGTGTGGGTCGCATCCTAATTTGCCCGAAATGCTCAGCATAGCAAGCGGCTTTCTGTATAATAGTATGTCATTGGAGCTGGGAAGTACAGTGTCTGCACTCTGAAGGAGGGGTGTTAATTTTGCAGTTTAATAAACTGTATACAGTGTAAAACACCTCGCTGGCAAGACAGTGATGGAGTGAATTATGAAAGTTTTTTCTTTTTCGGGCCGCCCTGCCTTGGTGGGAATCGACCACAAATGTCTCAAAAGTTGGGTAGCCTCGTTCACAAGCCACTATCGAATCCTGCTGACTGCAACCTTTCTCTGTATATACCTGCTTGTTTCTTCGTGGTGCGTTGATATGGACCTGACGTACACGGTATACATAGGTGTCGGAATGTTGTTCTTAGGTTTGCTAAGCGCCCATATGCTGCAGCAGTTATTTGGTTGATGTGCGCCTCACATATGCTCGGTATTGTACTCACACCAAGATCTTTTTTCTTGAGTGAGGTTTGCAGTCTTTGGTCCCCTAGCCTGTACTCTGTCTAAGGTCTTCTTTGTCCTTCCCCGATCTTCATGACTTTGCACTTGGTGGGGGTTAAACTCCACGAGCCAGTTGCTGGACCAGGCTTGAAGTCTGTCCAGATCCAGTAGATCCGTACTCTCCCTGCTCCATGAGATGTATCGTGTGTATGTGTGTGTGTACTCACCTAGTTGTGGTTGCAAAGGCCGAATTACAGCTCTTGACCCCGCCTCTTCACTGATCGCTACTAGGTCACTCTTCCTGCTCCATGAGCTTTATCATACCTCTTCTTAGAACTATGTATCGATCCTGCCTCCACTACATCACTTCTAAGACTATTCCACTTTCTGACAACTCTGTGTCTGAAGAAATAATTCCTAACATCCCTGTGATTCATCTGTGTGTGTGTGTGAGAGAGAGAGTTTATAAGTAACTCTCACTGTCATGATGTAGAGTGTTAATATATTAAAAGTAATTATTATATATAACAATACCTCTAATTCCTGTTTGTGTAACTATTTGTATGTGTAACGTATTACATGCTCTTGCAGCTTATTACCTTCATGTGTAACGTATTATGTGCTATTGTAACTTATTACCTTCATGTGTAACGTATTACGTTCTCTTGTAACTTATTACCTTCATGTGTAACGTATTACATGCTCTTGTAACTTATTACCTTCATGTGTAACGTATTACATGCTCTTGTAACTTATTACCTTCATGTGTAACGTATTACATGCTCTTGTAACTTATTACCTTCATGTGTAACGTATTACATGCTCTTGTAACTTATTACCTTCATGTGTAACGTATTACGTGCTCTTGTAACTTATTACCTTCATGTGTAACGTATTACATGCTCTTGTAACTTATTACCTTCATGTGTAACGTATTACATGCTCTTGTAACTTATTACCTTCATGTGTAACGTATTACATGCTCTTGTAACTTATTACCTTCATGTGTAACGTATTACATGCTCTTGTAACTTATTACCTTCATGTGTAACGTATTACGTGCTCTTGTAACTTATTACCTTCATGTGTAACGTATTACATGCTCTTGTAACTTATTACCTTCATGTGTAACGTATTACATGCTCTTGTAACTTATTACCTTCATGTGTAACGTATTACATGCTCTTGTAACTTATTACCTTCATGTGTAACGTATTACATGCTCTTGTAACTTATTACCTTCATGTGTAACGTATTACATGCTCTTGTAACTTATTACCTTCATGTGTAACGTATTACATGCTCTTGTAACTTATTACCTTCATGTGTAACGTATTACATGCTCTTGTAACTTATTACCTTCATGTGTAACGTATTACGTGCTCTTGTAACTTATTACCTTCATTTGTAACGTATTACATGCTCTTGTAACTTATTACCTTCATGTGTAACGTATTACGTGCTCTTGTAACTTATTACCTTCATGTGTAACGTATTACATGCTCTTGTAACTTATTACCTTCATGTGTAACGTATTACATGCTCTTGTAACTTATTACCTTCATGTGTAACGTATTACATGCTCTTGTAACTTATTACCTTCATGTGTAACGTATTACATGCTCTTGTAACTTATTACCTTCATGTGTAACGTATTACGTGCTCTTGTAACTTATTACCTTCATTTGTAACGTATTACATGCTCTTGTAACTTATTACCTTCATGTGTAACGTATTACGTGCATGTATGACGCATTACCTGCATAAGGTGCTTGTGTGTCGTGTTACATCACATATAAAGTATTATCTCCGTAAGTAATGTCATACCTGTGAGTGTATTCTATTACTTGTTTGTAATATGAGTTATCTGTAAGTTTAAGGCTATATTGTTTTCATACAAAAACCCTGAAGTGGGATAACAACTCTTAATTTGTAAGTTTAAATGTGTAAAAAAAAAAATCTATCTTCGCGTGGCAAAGTATTGTGTGTACGTATGAAGATGTGGCACCATACTATTTATAAATATACTATTATTGGTGTCGCAGTGTTATGTTTGTAAGCATAAACGAGTAATAACAATTATTTAAGGAGCAGAAACTGCCCCCAAAAAGTCGTTAACACAATATACTTACAATAACAATTGGAAGATCCAGTGCCTCCTGTGGTGACTCTCTCCCTCTATGGTTGGGAATCCCGCCTCGCAACTTTATATAGCCCGCTCTACATTGAGGGATGCTGTGACATCTGTGTACGTGACTTGTTTTTGTACCAATTACGCATCTGTGCCTTGGTAGTTGACCATAAATGGTAAGAGATACACCATGGTAACAGTGATGCCAGAGTAGCTAGTGAAGCTCAGATGTATCATGACCTTTCACTTGAAGTGACTAGTTGCAGCGTCATGTTTATCACGGAGATGTGAGGGTTTTACCTAATGTTCAGCTGTATCCTCTAGTACTGAATTACTCACAGAGCTGGAAAACCATTACTCTTACGAGTACACTAACTAGGCAAGTTATCGTTATAGCTTAGACATACTACGTAATATGTTATATAAAGCAATCGGAGAGAAGGAAACTTTAAGAGTGCAAAGAGAGAATATTTTATGTTTATGTGCAAACAATTTGATATATAGTTAGAGATTATTTAGTGATGTATGTAAATATACTTTGATATACTATGGTAAGATAGTTTGGCGTTATATGAACAAATCAAAAGTTCTGAATTACAAACTATCAGCTAATTTTGTCATGAGCTACTAATCTGTTGTTGCTCGTATAGATTGTTTGACAATGTACGAACATATAGTTTGATGTTTGATAGGGTAGATTTAAGAATGTAGAGTTAGAGTGTTCAGCAGAAGTTTGTTGTTACAGGAAAGTGGGTGCAGGAGGGAAGAAGAGCGATTGGTGGAATGATGATATAAAGATAGTAGTAAGGAAGTAGTAAGTATCTGGAAGATGGAAAGAAGATTTTGAGGAATTGTTAAATGTTGATGAAGATAGGGAAGCTGTGATTTCATGTATAGGGCAAGGAGGAATAACATTTTGTAGGAGTGAGGAAGAGCCAATTGTAAGTCTGGGGGAAGTTCGTGACGCAGTGGGTAGAATGAAAGGGGGTAAGGCAGCTGGAATTGATGGGATAAAGATAAAAATGCTAAAAGCAGGTGGGGATATAGTTTTGGAGTGATTGGTGCTATTATTTAATAAATGTATGGACGAGGGCAAGGTACCTAGGGATTGGCAGAGAGCGTGCATAGTTTCTTTGTATTAAAGCACATGGGACAAAAGAGTATACCTGGTCAAGTGTATGGTAGAGTTATTATTGAAAGAATTAAGAGTGAGACGGAGAGCAGGACAGCAGATGAACAAGGAGGCTTTATGAAAGGTAGAGGGTGTGTAGACAAAGTGTTTACAGTGAAACATACAGGTGAGCAGTATTTAAATAGGGTAAAGAGGTTTTTGTGGCATTTATGGATTTGGAAAAGGCGTATGACAGGGTGGATAGGGGGCAATGTGGCAGATGTTGCAGATGTATGGAATAGGAGGTAAGTTACTGAAAGCAGTGAAGAATTTTTACGAGGATAGTGAGGATCAGGTTAGAGTATGTAGGAGAGGGGGAGATTATTTCCCAGTAAAAGTAGGCCTTAGGCAAGGATGTGTGATGTCACCATGGTTGTTCAATATATTTACAGATGGGGTTGTAAGAGAAGTGAATGCTCAGGTGTTGGCGAGAGGTGTGGGGTTAAAAGATAAAGAATCTAACAAAGTGGGAGTTGTCACAGTTGCTCTTTGCTGATGACACTGCTTTTGGGAGATTCTGAAGAGAAGTTGCAGAGATTGGTTGATGAGTTTGGTAGGGTATGTAAAAGAAGACAATTAAAAGAATAAGGTGATGAGGATAAAAAAAAATTGGTAATGAAAGATTGGATATCAAATTGAAGGGAGAGAGTATGGAGGAGGTGAATGTATTCAGATATTTAGGAGTGGAGGTGTCAGCAGATGGGTCTATGAATGATGAGGTGAATCAAAGAAGTGATGAGGGGAAAAAATGAGTGATGCACTTAGGAGTCTGTGGAGACAAAGAACTTTGGCCATGAAAGCAAAGAGGGGAATGTATGTGAGTATAGTTTTACCAACACTCTTATATGGGTGTGAAGCATGGGTGATGAATGTTGCAGCGAGGAGAAGGCTGGAGGCAGTGGAGATGTCATGTCTGAGGGCAATGTGTGGTGTGAATATAATGCAGAGAATTCGTAGTTTGGAATTTAAAAGGAGGTGTGGGATTACCAAAACTATTATCCAAAGTACTGAGGAAGGGTTGTTGAGGTGGTTAAGACATGTAGAGAGGATGAAACTGTTATGCCGAGATGCAGCTTTGTTAAATATAACTTTTATATTTGTTCATCTATCTAATATTACAGTGTGATTACCATCGTTAATATCTAAAACCAGAGTAATCAGCTTTATAATATTAAATATTCATTTTCACCTTTCCCATTTTCATTACATATATTTATATGATCAATTATTTTGGTAAGGAAATAGATTGTTCACCATTAGTAACGACCAATTTATGTTTATGTGGCCTCACCCTTGTATTACTCGCCTGACGCCAGCTGACGTCAGGAGCGAGTGGTGTGGGTTAATCAGTACAACACCTCTCTCAGTCTTGAGGTCCTCTCACTCGTTTACTTTGAGAAGTTATCCAGCTGTATAGTATTATTCTCTCAGTCTCTTGAAAGTAGAGGATTTCTAAAACTCTCACCAAGTAAAATCTCGCCAGTGTTTAAAGAAATTACAATTATTAATCTTGGATCGTCTCTGGTTAGAGAGACTATGTAACTTTATCAATTTCATATATAAATACTCAGTCAGAATGAAGGTAATTGTAAGCGGTATGTAAGTTATAAGTCTGTCAAGTGTTATTTCTATATTATAAGTAAAAGTACCATTTTAAAATACCTTATAGAATATTACGTAAATTACGTTATATTAAAAACAAATATTAATGCAGTCTTTTCATCACTCCATCATATAAATCCTTATTACAATTTTCCATGAGTATATTCGATACCAAGGATCTCCTATACTCAGGCGAAATATATTACAAATTCTAAGGTCAATCGTAATACAACAAAACAGAATGACTTCGAGAGTGTATAAATCTATAGTGGAGGGAAGGCGGGGTAGGGGTCGGCCTAGGAAGGGTTGGAAGGAAGGGGTAATGGAGGTTTTGTGTGCGAGGGGCTTGGACTTCCAGTAAACATGAGTGAGCGTGTTAGACAGGAGTGAATGGAGACAAATGGGTTTTTAGGACTTGACGTGCTGTTGGAATGTGAGAAGTGTAACATTTATGAAGGGACTCAGGGAAACCGGCAGGCCGGACTTGAGTCCTGGAGATGGGAAGTACAGTGTCTGCACTCTGAAGGAGAGGTGTTAATGTTGCAGTTTTATAACTGTAGTGTAAGCGTGCCTCTGGCAGGACAGTGATGGAGTGAATAATGGTGAATGATGGATCTTGTCTTGTAATGCATATATGCATGTATTTTTTTCCAAGACTAAGTTGCAGTGAAGATAGCAACTGATCCCTGGAGAGTTTCAGAATTGCTATCAATTCGGTTTGTAGGACAGATCAGCTTCTCATTCGTTACTTCTTGACAACAAAATGAAATTCATCCAGAATATATAACCTGGTCTACTTGAAGAAGCAGCGCCATGTTTGACCGGTTTCATTTTTTGTTACTGTTTCTTGTCAGCAGTTATGTAGAAAGAAAAAATAAAATTTATGACAAAAAGGCAACAGATCCAAATAATGTATGTGAAATGAAGTTCAAATGGAAGGCCAAAAGTAATATAACTTTTGAATACCATGATTTTGAAAAAATAAGTATAGAAGTAAAATTTATGGACGTATAAGTACTCTAACCCAACATATTAGGAACCGAAAATCTGCGTGGGAGGAGGAAGTCATTTTTAAATATGGCCGCCATTTCCTCAGAGGTCGAATCTGATTGTGGGGTTATATAAACTGTGCCAGATTTTACACAATTTGATTCAGAATGCGCCTTAAGCCTGTTAACAATTGTTTAACATGGTCTATTCCACTAATGGACCACGCTCACGTGTGATGTCATCTCTAGCTGCTACACCTCACTTCTAGTTCTTGTATATAAGTCTTTAGCATCATGCTATACTTTACGTTAAAGGTTTGACCACCTTAAATCAAAACCGAGTGACTAATCATCTTAAAGTCATCTCCACTTCAACTACTGTCTCCAGTGTTATAACAGCCAGTGTTGCACATGTGTGTGTTGCTCATGTGAAACACATACGTAAGATGACACTTTGTTTCTCATCACAATAAACATATTAACAACATACTAAGCAGCATGGTGTTATTTACTAGTATCTTCTTCAGCAGAATTTCGTGATTATGAATGTGATACCATTGATAATATATTGACTTAACTATAGTTTCCTACTTTTTCTTCGATTTCTGACATAAATTATTGCAAATACTTATCATAGGGAGAACACTGAAAATAATTAACGAATCATCCTGACAACTGGTGAAGTAGACAACAGCATATCCCAGGCTTTCAAATATAGCGATACCAATGGGGTAGACATAATATATAAATAAAAACTGAACGCTTACTTACTAAACCAAACACAAATCACCGCCACAACACAAAAGCAGGACTCGTAGAACTCCGCCGGACTCTTGGAACTCCGTTTTCATCAAGAACTGCAAGAAGCCCTTGTCACGTGCCTTCAGCATTCTATGGAGAAGGAGCATAGACACAGGAGTCATCCCACAGTCACTAAAAGCAACAGACATAGCTTCACTCCACAAAGGTGGTAGTAAAGCAATTGCAAAGAACTACAGACCGATAGCACTAACATCCCATATCATAAAAATCTCTGAAACCGTTCTAAGAAGCAAGATCGCTAACTACCAAGATATCCATCAGTTACACAACCCAGGGCAAGACGGGTTTAGAGCAGGTCGCTCCTGCCTGTCCCAGCTGCTGGACCACTATGACAAGGTCCTGGATGCTTAAGAGGAGTGGTTCGTTAACCTTGTTGGAGGTACTGAACCCCGCAAGTTTCATCCGTGCATTCACCGAACCTTCGTAACTGGAAAAATGAAATCTGATTTCTTCAAAATATGATTTCAATCAACACTGTAAATCAATGTGACTTGCTGTTGCCTTTCAGAGACACGTTCAAAAATGCGCGGCTTCACCTTGGCAAGTGTCACTCTT